GTCACAGTCCTACGGCGCAAGTAGACTTAGCTACACCACTTGCCCACTGGTCGACCTTCTAGAAGACCTCTGGACCCTACTTCGATTTTTGCCCTACAGGTCTGTGGTTCGAATCCCTTACTTCTCTGGTGCCTACGATGACCTACCTGCAAGTGGCTATCCTACAGGTCACAGGTTCAAGTCCTACATCTACACAGGTATTGTACACAGGTAAGTTGGGGAACTAGGGATCGAGCCCTGGGGCCTACATCAGCTACTTCGAACCGGGGGATACCGTTTCATATTTTCAATGTCTTGCTTGAGGGGTTAAGAAAAGGGGGAGAGAGAGAGAGAGAGAGAGAGAGAGAGAGAGAGAGAGAGAGAGAGAGAGAGAGAGAGAGAGGCGATGACTTGCACAATAACAGTTTGAGAATTCTGTACTTTCCTTAGAAAATGCTGTCCGTCTGATCCGATTGCTAAGAATTTGGATTGTGAGTCTGTTTGCTGTGTTTCCTAAGTATGTGTGTGAGCTGCTGATGATGTATGCATGCGGTGCGGTGTGCTTACCTGCTGCATTCCGAGTCCAAGTTCGAGTATGTGTCCTAACTCTGTTGGCCAAGTTGTGTGTCTGTGCCCTCGACAGGGTCACTCTGGGGTTAGAACGACGGTCACGGACATAAATAGAATTTCTTGGGGACATGATAGGGATTTTCCAGCAAGATGGTCAGGCCTAGAAGGGTCTGGTAGCTTTCCAGTACGTCATGATGGCCATGCCCTGAATGTAGACAACTTCAGAGGTAGATTCGGGACCTGTCTTTTCTGCACTTTGCAGTATTGCCCCTTCTGATTGTTTGGTTTTCCCCTTCTGTTATGACCCTGGCCAATTTCGAGATACACATCCACCGGAAAGTACAATGCCATCCAATTGCAGAAAGGAATGAATGAACTTGAGACGAGAGAGAGGATTAGAAGAAGAAGAAGAAGTAAGAAAGAAGAAGAAGTAAGAAAGAAGAAGAAGAAGATGTACACCAGCAAAGACAATGACAAGGCTCTTCTTCTTCGCCCAACAAACTCCTCCTCATCTCCCCCTTCTCTTAATCATACAAGAAATAATAATACAATGTTGAATGACTGGTCCAGAATCAATGTCCGAGTCCCTCTTCTACTGCAGGTATCACTTAAGGTCCACCATAGCCATGGCCGCCTCTCCCACTCTTCACTCTCATAGGCCGAGGCTATGGCGGGCTACTGTGCTCTGATAAGATGCCCAAAGGACAACCCAAAGCAGCTGTGGCTGCTCTTGCTCAGGCCGCCATGCCAGACCCTGCCTCGAAGCTTCTTGGTGTAGCTCTCCCCAGCTGGGGACTCCCTGCTGCAGCGCCCACCAAGGTGATGAAGATGGCTGCCACCATAGCCAGGTAAGTACCCCTGGCGCTCCTCCCCATTCCCTCCTTCTTCCTCCTTCCTCCTTCTTCCTCCTTCCTCCTTCTTCCTCCCTCTTGTCCTTCTCCTTCCTCCCCAGCAGCGGTGCTCCAGCTTAGCGCTGCTCCAGCCAGCGCTCCACCAGTGTGTCGCCAAACTTGCACACCGAAAAAGAGGCCGGACTCTCCACCCGGCCAGAAGATATAGCAGCCTGCTTTGCCTCTTGGGCGGTGACTTCCAGGCCGCTCGGCCTCCGAAGCAGCCGGTACCTCCTCCGTTTCGGAGGGAAACATCATTGCAGACTCTGATATTGCCCGTTACAGGCCCTAGACCCAGACTGGTTGGACTGATATCCGCCTAGACCTACCTACAACTACTGGGCCTCTAAAAATGCCACTTTTGTCTTCTTCTGCTCGGCCTCCGGTACCTGCACATCTACCCCTTCCAGGTGCGGTACCGGCCTACCCGCTACTTGAGTGTTTTTCCCCGCTGCAACCCCTCAATGTCACAGCCATAGGTAAGTACCGGCCCTGAGGGCCCAACAAACAAGCAAGTGCCCTGACGGGCCACACACATACTCATGCCAACCAGCACCCAGACAGGCACGGTCACACACACACACAGCCCAACCAACACTCAGACAGGCATGGTCACACACACACTCAAGCCATCCAGCACTCAGACAGACATGCAGTCCAGCAAGCGTGCGCACACAGACTTAGTAGCAAGCGGGAAACTCAGCAGGGCATTCAGTCTAATACCGCCCACAGCCCACAAAGTACCACCTGTCTGTCCCACCAGCAGAGTTCTACCTGATGTTGGCCATGAGCTTTTTTTTCCTTTCTGTTTTTCAAAATTAGCTCCTAATGTTATCATATGATTCATATCCATATGATTCCATTGAACTTATAATCTTTTCATCGACAGTTACATGCGTACTACTCAAACACTTGGAGTGCATATTTCTTCTTTTTTTGTGTGTGTGGATTTCTTTTTGTTTTTGGGAAATAGGCGCAAGGGTCTTGAACAATATGAGGTTGGAAAAACAGGGCAATCTCATATTTTTTGTTAACACTGGCAGAAGAAAAATAAAGAAATCCCATAACTGCACTGTGTAGTTATGCTGGTGATGCAACACTGGCAAGCAAGTAGTTGTCCTTCCTTATCTTTTCTTTTTTGTTAGAGTACCACTATCTCCAAGCCTCCTTTTGCCAAGGTGGAGTAGAACTGTGCGGCAAGCTTTTGCCGAAGAGCTGCCGGAGTGTTTTCTGTCTTTTTTCGGCTGGTGCCGCCAGCCGTTTTGGTCCAGTAGCGCCCACCAGCCTCCGCCGGCCTCCGAAGTATGCGGTATAGGTTATATTTACAACTTCGTCTTAGCCTGAAAAGGCAGTGGTGGTTTCAGTCGACGCCTATGTTACATATGCCCAGTTGTCGACGCCTTATTTTTCCTCCCTTTCCTTTTTGTTAATATATTTTCAGGCCCTTTTGGTCCTGGCTTTGGGGAGCTGCAGTCTGGTTCATATTCCACGAGCAAGTTATCTTTCCTTATTCTTCAGCCCCCCCTCCCCCACCCCCCCGCCCCCCCTCGAGTTACGTTTTTCCAGGTACCATGTACCTTTGAATGGGAAAAAGTTTGGTGTTTTCACTCTGGGCTCACTTTTTTGAACAGGTGATGTGGTCCCCGCTGATGCCAGGATCATTCTGGATGGGGAGCCGATGCAAGTGGATGAATCGTTACTGACGGGAGAGTCACTGGCGGTGACGAAGCACACGGGTGATGACTTGCTGAGTGGGTCAGTGATCGAACAGGGAGAGAGAGAAGCTTTGATCACATCCACCGGAGCCAACACATTCTTTGGGAAAACCATGTCCCTTCTACAAAAGGAGACAGATGCCGGTCACTTGACACAGGTATTGCATCAATGCTAAACATTCTTTGGAAAACCATTTCCTTTCTACAAAAAAGGGAACCGATGCCCGTCATTTGCCATAGGTAGTGCAACTGTGCAAGTCCTTTTCCAACCTTTTTCTTAGTTCATTCAGTGCTGTTAACTGCTGACTGCAGACTCCTACCAGTCAATGAGAAGGAACCTACCGCCAGTCGGCAGTTTGCTGACCAGTGGGCTTTGGCCAATTTGGGATGCTGCACATAACTGTGAAAGGGGGACCACATCATTGAGGGACATAACATTGGTTAAAAAAACAGTTTTACATGCATATTGGGTGTGGGGAGAGGAGGTTGGGAAAGAGGGATCTTGGGGGGGGGTGTGAGGTTTTAATGATGATGATGATGATGTTGCTGACTGATGTCGATTGAAGGAGAAGAAGGAGAAGAAGGAGAAGAAGGAGAAGAAGGAGTGGAAGGAGAAGAAGGAAAAGGAGGGGGAGGAGGAGGAGAAGAAGACGGCAAGGACAAGGAGGAGGAGAAGGACGACGACGACAACGAAGAAGAAGAAGAAGGACAAGCTGTGGTGTCGAGATGAGCGTTGGTGATTATGGTCTTATCACGTACCTTGTAGACGTCCAGCAAGTACCCAAAAAACAACTCAAACCGCTTAAAGCAGCCAATCAACTCAAACAACCTGCAGCACACGCTGAGTCGAATAGAAATGGAGAGTACATCCAACTGGCGGCAGCTGGAGGGTGCAATTCTTTGGAGGGTTAACGTCTGAATCTGGTCGTGTTTTACACAGAGATTCAGGGGAAAAAACAGATCAATTGCAGTTTTCTGCACCTCTCCGCAAACACGTCCAGATTCAGGCGTTAAATCCAATCTTCCTTGCAAATGGGCTCCACATTTCTCCCTCAGGACCTTCCACAAAACTATTATCAAAGTTTGAAAGTTTACATGCTTCACTGAGAGACCAATAATCAGGAACCGAGACAACGCCTTGAAAAACAGTGTCCAAGTCCATGTCTCCTCTCTCCTACTTCACCAGGCTCCACCCTGATGTCTACCACCAAGGATCAGCCACCTAGTGACCTCCTTGCCCCTGATCGGCTAGCGCTATTCCCACTACCTCAGCCCAGTACCTGCGCCTGCACCCAGCATGAGTACACGAGCCTCTCACGGCAGTCAAGAGAGCCCAAGTGCCACTTCCGTCATGCCAGAGAGGGAGAGGATATATAAATATATACATACTTGTTTGTTGTCCTCTTCTCTCTCTCTGCCTGTGGTTTACCGGGTAGCTCTGTTTGACTATATATACGGTTTACCGGGCAGTTCTGTTTGTGACGATATATGCTACGACTTCGCTAGCTTCCTGCTACGGTTTTTTCCGGTCAGGTCGAGCGGCAGTGGTCGGGGCCGTTACTAGGCGGCCATGCTGTGCCTCTAGTGCCAGCGTGTCTGGAGTGTATTTTTTGGCTGTG